ACCAGGCAAACGCCCATTGCTGCTAATTTGACTAAATCCAGCACCAAGCAAAAACATATTGGCATGTTTCTATATCACTAATACTAATAAACAGCCTGTGATGAGTGAGTGAGCACGTCTCATAAACGACACATCTGGTAGAGCATATTGCGGCGGTGGTCTCGCGGGGGCCCGTTCAAAAGTGGTGAAACGGCGTGCAAATTTTTCCGCATCCGTTTCCAGCTGACTCAACAGAGTCAATTGCAATTAAACACCACCACCGTCTCAAATATGGGGGAATGATTGGAAGCAATGATGCTACATATGCTGAGATCACATGTGTAAGACTCCTGTCAAGGTTTGACGTGATATGTTATCAGTCCTACCTGTAGCCAAAGGTCTTCAAAGGGAGGAAAAAAAAAAAAAAAAACAGGAATTTGAAACCCAGTCTTTGTTACTGTCGTCTCTGATATTTTTTTTCCTCTCCCCGTGCCCTTGGACGAGTTAAAAATAGTGTTGTCCTTTGGAGTGAAGTGGAGTGACTTGTTTTTGACAGTGCCCTCCAAGTTGAATAGCATCAATATATTAATAGCACATACAGTACCTGCGATTCAAGTGACAGATAGGTGGCAGGTTAAATTGCATTGGTGGTGAATTCATCTGGTCTATGTTTCTGCAGAGTTCCCACTGTGCATTAAAGTACTTACTGTATACTTTTGTGGCTTCTCTATTTAACAAAGACAGATTTAATGTTTTTATGAATGTTGAAATGGTGCCCAGAATTTCATTGTAACAACAAAGCTGGAAATTTCTGTACTGCAAAATGTTACTTGGGATGAAAACAAAAAAAAAAATTGAAAGGTTCTGCTCTAACACTTGGCCTTGACCTTGACCTTTTGGAACATAGAAAGGGTTTCAACCAGTACATTATAGTCCTTTGGGGTACATAAGTGTAGACCACCCTTTGCCGAGCTTTCACCCCTCAGCCATTAAAATCACAACAGAGTTGGCGCATCCCCACAAAAAAAAAAAAAAAAACAAAAACAAAAAAATACATTGTGTTCACTCGAACAAATCTAGAATTAAAAAAGTTACAAAATGGCTAGGAAAAAATGCTCCATACTCTCAGGGGTCTGCAAAATCATTTGCAATAAATTAAGATACTACAAAAAAAAAATAATAATAATAATACGTGAAAAACGCTAAACTATGTATAAGAACCACTGCACCAACAAAGCAAAGTTCCCAAGTTAAAGTGTCTTACTAAGTACAAAAAAAGTCCAATGTGATTGAGATATGACACGTACATCAGTGGTCCCCAACCACTGGTCAATGGCCTGGTACCAGTCTGCAGGCCATTTGTACCAGGCTGCACAGATAGATTCAACATTTTATTTATTTATTTTAACAGAGCAATTAACATCACCATCGGGAATAGACACCAGCACCGCCGGGTAGTTTCCAATTGGGATTATAAATCAGCCCGAATATAAACTATATCCTGCACAGACTCAAGACGACCTTCGTTGAGTGCAGGCCCAGTCCATAACCAATGGCAAACTTTCTGATACTGAGCAGCAACATTTCATTCCACAATGCTTTGGTCTTCAGATTTCATTGTACCCTGTTATAGATTTTAGACTCCCCATGCCAGCCGCAGCCCCACAATATAATAGAGACCAGAATTTCTTACACTGGGAAACACATTTCACTCCAGAAGGCCTTTCTGGTTTTTCAGTGCCATCAAATCATGCGCAGACTCAAGACACCCAAGGCATGGGTTAGTGTCGGATTCTGATGGTATGATAACCTTCAGGAGAAATATTACAGTTTCAGTATCACAGGATTGCAAATACATCGCAAAAACTTTTAAGGTCAAGGTCATCTTTATTGTCAAATATGCTTTATGTATGACATGCAGCATAGATGAAATTTCCTCCTCTCAATCCTCAGTGCAAATATGTATGCACACATGCATGTGTGTTTTGTATGTTTTGGGATAAACACAGTCAAACCTCGGTTTTCGAACGTCTCGGTTCTCAACCAATTTGGTTTTCGACCAAAAACTTAGAGTTTTTTATGCCTCGGATGACGAACAAATTTCGGTTATCGAACAAACTGAGCGCACTTGAATGCACCATTTGACTCCTCTCGCCTTCCTTACACGAGGAAGTGACGCTTCCTCGTGTTGCTTTCCATTGTGAGTAGACGTGTTCAAAAAACATTTTCATTTTAAAAAGAGCGTGGTTTCGGTTTTCGAACAATTTCGGGTTTCGAACAGCTTTCTGGAACGGATTATGGACGAAAACCGAGGTTTGACTGTAACTTGTTAACCGTGAGGGTGTTACCAATGCTAATTAGCCTTGACATCTGTCTTGCTAGCAAGTCTACAGTAGGTAGTTCACCCCTTGCAGACACGCTAGCTCTCGCAGCTGGTTATAAATTTTCACTTCAAGAAACATTATACCACTGGATATATTAACGTGACTTTGGATTAGGCCAAACAAAAAAGATAGTGTGTTTCCGGTAACATGAAATTTCAGCATAGGTCGGACAAAGTATTTTTTTTTAGTATTTTTTTTTTCCCATCAAAAATGTAAACAAAATAACCATAAAACATAAAACAAGGAGACATTGAACCCCCCGCTCGCCGCCAAAGACGGCGAGAGAGTTGGGTACCTGGCGGCTGGGTGTTGGGTTCCGAGGTCGGCCGGGTCGCTGGCACCGGTGGGTGAGGTCCCCGACGCCGGCCGCGGCCCGGCCTGGACGAGAGTTGTGTAGACTAGGCGCACGGTGCGTCGACGAGCGCGCGGACACGCGAGTCGGCAGGGTGGGCGGTCGGGGAACGCCGACGGGCGCCTGACCGGGGGTGGGGGAGACGGGCGGGACTGGGAGCGGCCGGCCGCGCAACGCGCACCGACCGACCCCGCGCCCTCCACCGTCCCCTACCCCCTCGACGCCTGCAACGCCCCTGCCACCGTCCCGCCGCCACCTCTTTAGTTAGTGTACTCCCCGCTCCGGACTCGGGGGGCCGGGGCGCACCGCCGCCTCCGCCGTCCTCCTCCGCCCTCGGTTTTTACTCGGCCCGTGAATTTTTTCGATACATCAATAGATGCTATTTTCTTAACATTACGGTGCAAGCATGCGACTGTCACACAGAAAACGCGGTTTAAACTGTCGTTGGAGATCGCGGCCGCCGCCATGATTCAATGTTGTTGACAGACCACAGGGCAAACGACGCACGCGCTCAACGTGAATATCGCGAGAGTTTGCACCGATGTAAACCCTCTACACAAAAATGTAGAAGATTGTTTGAAAAAAATGCTGACCGTAAAGTTTTTTTTTCGACGTAGAAATTCTCGGTCGGTCAGGTTACCGGAAACACACTACTTTTTTTTCTCCACTTTAGTCTAAGTGTGATGGGACAGGAGGGGTCATGTTGTGTCACTTTGCCTGCATTGATAACTTAAAGTTAAAAAATAATCATAAATAAATGCTGCTGACGGAAAATTTTAGCGGTTTAATTTTACTCTCCTCAAATTCAAGGCACCACATGCAGACCTACAGCATAACCAAGACCGGCCTGTTGACATTAGCGAGCACATCTTACTCCAGAAAGTCTTGATACGTCTTGAGGTGTCATGTCACTGTACTCAAATTCAAGACACCTTGTGGCGATGCAGACAAAGCTCACCTCATGAGTAACATTACTCGGTAGGTCGTGTTCAAAATACTATGTGGGTTTATCCTTCTTTACCAGTGACTGCGATATCGCAGTAGATATAAAACCCCACAGGGACTGGTTATAGACCACCATTACACTTTTTAATCTCACACACCCCTGAGGGTACCCCACAATTTGGGACAGCCCTGGTGACCGTACCCTAAGGGACACCTATAAAACAACATTTTACCAGTCGCCATGGCAAGAGTCAACACTAGTAAAACACAAAATAAATCCTGTCATTTCATGTGCATGAAAAGATGCCGTCAACAGCGGTGAATAACGCACGGACCCCCGCCCATTCGTCCATCCAGTGAGTCAGTGGCTACATGATTATCCTCTACAAAAAAAAATACAGGAAAATGGCCGCCTTTTGTCTGTGGGTTTTGAGGATAAACACACACACACACACACACACACACACACACACACACACACACACACACACACACACACACACACACACACACACACACACACACAAATTCAGTCTTATCTCTGTCATGAAAAACAAAAACACATGTTTTTTTGTGTGCATGCTTTTAATTGCACCATGGTACTCAATAAAACATTAAAGGGAGTGGGTAGGGGGACCAGCCTCTCACCCACGCAGACACCAGTTACACTAAACTCGCCCTCCACTCGAATATGGCCTGATACGTGGGCTATGCGACTACAACATTTGAGTGCATCTATGCAGTCAGACTGCTTTGCAGTGGTCACTTGAGCCACCTATCGGCTTGTCACCAACTTCTCAGCATCCATTGCGCAGGGGAAATACTTCTTATACACCTTTTTTTCCCTACACGTTCTACCCACAAAATGGGACATTTAATAGTTACTGGGTAGGTTAGTATTCCGTCTTTTTAAATATTTCACAAGAGTTCACCCACCACAACAGGTTGCACATGAATATTTTAGAGGTTTTTTTTTTTCTCCGAGGGTTTTTTTTACCCTTCACCTGCTTGTCTGTTGGTGACGGAAACAGATATGAAGCGTTTAACTTTTTAAGGGGGTCAAACAACATTCAAAAAAGGGGCAGCAATGGCAGAAGGCTGAAAGCGGAGACATGAAAGCAAGTCACAATGAGTCGTCTGTGATGGTGGGCTTGAACATGCACGCAGCATCTCATTAGGGGTTGGTGATGGATGGCAATTCCACGCGTTTAGGTGCAAACTGGCGCCCAGTTATATGTGCACAAGTATGCAAATAAGTCACCTCCCAAAATGGAAGAGTGGGGAGCTAAGCAGACATTCGGATGTCAACGTATTTCAACTTTGATGCGTTCAATGCTTACCTCGCAACAGCAGGGGAAAATTATCCTCCCCCAAGTCTCTCTCACCCCGATTCAATCCGAATCCGATTTGAATGTACTTGGCGCGACACACGCCTAATCCGTGTGAAAGGCAGGATTGTGAGGAATGCGTCTGTCTATAATTCCTCCACCTGGACGGTGAACATCTCCACAAGGGCTCCTCGTCGCCTTCTTCGCGGCTCTGGCGATGCACCCCTCTGAGAGAAAAAAAAAGAAGAAAGAGAAAAAAAAACTGCACAGGGTAGTGGTGGTGCGGAGGAGTGGAAACTTTCAAGAGGCTCAAGCCCAGACAAGAGGAAGGGACGGCAGACTATTCCTCTCGGTCGGGTGTCCTCCCATCGTCGATTGATTTTGGCCGCTCGCGCGTCTCCTCCACTAGGCGCCACCTGCTCTCCGGAACATCGTCTCATGCAGGATGGATGCTGAGCCAGCAGCGGAATTGGGAGACTCGCTCTCGCTCTCTCTCTCTCGCTCTCTACCACTCTCGCTTTCTCTCTCCGTCCTCCCACACGCCTCCTCCTCCTCCTCCCTGCACCTTTCCTTCCCTCGCTCCTCCCCATCTTCATCATAGTTCCTTCTCACTTCAGCACTTTCTCACACATTCACACTCAACCACGAGGCATGCTTCAAGCTGAATGGCTTCAAAGGGCGCCATTTAAATGAGTTGCCAACTACACTAAAATTCTTCAATAAATTCTCATATATTTTTTTAAGAGTTAATAAAATGTGTCTGCAAATTTGAGAAATTCTGGTACTCTGTACCACTGTGTACCGGCCCACTTAAAATCAGACTGATTTTCACAGTGGGGTAGTTCCGTATTTTCCGGACTATAAGGCGCGTTTTTTTTTCATAGTTTGGCCGGGGGTGCGACTTATACTCTGGAGCGATTTATGTGTGAAATAACACATTCTATCATTTGACGTTATTTTCACATTAAACCACAAGAGGGGGCTCTAGGCCTGTGTTGATGCTTTCCACATTGACAAAAAAAAAAAAAAAAAAAACTCCGATGACTCTGACGTCAGCGAAGTAGAATAGGAAGCACCGCCTCTTCTACATCCGAAGTTGGCAGAGTTGCTTAAAAGTGACACCAAGGATGAAGATTTCATTGGATTTAGTGATTTGGAGTGACACAGATGGTTTGGTAAACTTGTTAGCATGATCATTATGCTACAGTTATCTGAATAACTCTTAATATGTTACGTGAACATACCGGGCACATTCTCAGTTCATTGTTTATGCGTCATGTAACGTTAGCATATGGTACTCTTATTCAGCCTGTTGTTTTATTTTTATTTGCCTTCAAAGATGACATGTCTGTTCTTGGTGTTGGATTTTATCACGTAAATTTCCCCCCAAAATGCGATTTATACTCCAGTGCGACTTATGTATGTTTTTTGTTCTTTATTATGCATTTTATGGCTAGTGCGACTTATATTCAGGAGCGACTTATCGTCCGGAAAATACGGTAGTAGTATGTGCTTGCAAATTAATCACTGCTGAAAGCACAATTTAGTTGACAGGTGTCCAATTCAAGCCCTCGGGGACCAGATCCAGCCAACAACATCATTTCCTGTGGCCCACAATGGTAAATAATGTGTGTGGAGTACATGATTCTTGCAAATTGCCTTAATTTCCAAAAACAGTGATATTATAGATATTGCAAGTATTTTTTTGTTCCCAATCCCTGCTTTTAGAATACATTAATATACATCTGAACAAACAATTTACTGATTCCTGATTTTGAAACCAGTTATCCATCAATGTGTTGTGTATACAGTATGTGATAATACAATGTAATATATAGATTCACAGTCATAACGGCCCTCCGGGGGAAACCATAACTACGAAAATGACACCCCTGCTTTGGTCATGATGGTGGTTGGCCTATTTTGAGAGCCAAGCAATTTTTTAGGCTGTACTTGGTATAAAATGTTTGAGAACCACGTGATGATATTTAGATTTGAATTTGGGAGTTATGGTGTTGTTGATTTACAGAATAAAGCTAAAAGATTTATTTTGCTGACAGAAGAAATTTGTAGGCGACGAAAAAAATCGCTTGTGACCATTAAAATTGGTGCTGAATATCTGGTGAACGTCTGTGACTTTGACAAAAAAATAAATAAATAATCCAAATCCGCTACTTTCGCAAACACTCATAAACACTCAGTGGGCTGAAGGCTTAAGGGAAACTGGAATGCTTGCCACCAAGCCAAATAATGGGGGTAGCAAACCTCCCTTTTCACCAGCTCTTGCATTGTATCTCATAGTAACATAGCATCTTGAGTGTATCCTAAATCCCCACTGTTTCACAGATAACCTGCCCAGAAGTGTGACTCAAAGACGTGAAGCTCAATTAGATGTGATGTCTCGAGGAAAGACTCCCCTCCCCTTCGCCTCCCACCCACCACGCGGCATCCCATCGAAGCTATGCAAGCTACATTCATTTGTTTGTACAGAGTCCATTAAGACTGCGCACTATTTGTCATGCATGGAAGCGAGTGACAACAAGCCTCACTATTTTCGCACACCTGCTGTGAATAAATAGCACAGCAAAAGCCACCCAATTACTGCATGTAACCAAACAGACCACACGTTACCAATCACATTGGATGAAATGCGGTGTCGGATTTTCTTGATTTTTACTCTTTATTATTTAATTACTTTACAATGTAATGTAAAAATTAAGACTTAGAATGTTGAACGTCTCACACAACACTCGTACACACACATGTGCGAGCGAGCGAGCACACACACGCAAGCACGCACACACACACACACACACACACACACACACACACACACACACACGCACACACACACACACACACACACACACAAAATAGAAATACAAAATAATTTATGACAAGCACAACAAATTCAGTTCAACACTCACACCAAACAAAAATGCACCAAACACACGTGACAATCGGTATACAAAACAACCACGTAGAAACAAAAAAAAACGTGCACATGCATACACACAACCATGAAGCACAACCACAAAAAAATCACCCACAAAGAAACACAGCCACCCACACACAAATTATCACACAATACACACAACTATGAAAACACATTCAAACACCCTCCAAAAATGCACCACAAAGACACCACAATCAAAATACTCAACTCGACCACACAAATGCAAACAACTACACAAGCACACACGGAAATACATACACAACTACACATTAAAAAAAAAAACACTTTCTAAAACTACCAACAAACATGGGTAATATCACAATATATATTGTTTACACTATGTCAAGAATGAACAGCACTGTGGCTTAAAAAGAGGTTTTGACTGGCTTTGGGGTGTACCCTATCTACTGCTTGAAAAGAGCTGGGATAGGCTCAAGCACGCTCACGACCCTCGTGAAGATAAGCAGTTCGGATCATGGATGGATACTGCCTCAAAGTGGTAAAGGCGTGCACGGGAGAAGGAGCTGAACAATGTTCATTGAATTTAAGCAAAATAATGGGCACCCCCCCCCCCATTTAATTATGCCATTACTGCTAATTTCTTTATCAACAGCAAATTACTTTGTAGTGCCAAGGATGTCCTGACTCATAATTGTATTTTTTCTAGGGTCGGAAAACACACAGTTACATGTATTCTCCCAAGCAGTTAAAGGATTCAAAAGAAGAGTCCAATCCTCTTGGTGAGCTCTAAAAGAATAATGTCTGTACTGTAGTGGCTGCCAGCCATTCTCAGCTTCAGCTATCTAAAAACAGCGAAAATGCCAGTGAAAAAAATTACACAGGGGAGAAAATCACTGCCTCTGATCGTAATTGAGGCATTGGCACATTTGTGCTGGTTCTGCAAAGCTGATGTGTGTCGAGTATTTTCCGACCCAAAACACAGACAACAAAAACGGCATCGATTCCCTCCGCCAGATTCGCCTGCGTCCAAGCATTCAAGCGCAGAGGTTAATCACACAGCGACATTCAGCTGCCAGTCATCAAGTCAACGGGCCCGGCTAGCCCCGTATTTTTCGGCAGCATGGTGCCACCGAGTGCCACAGCTTGTCCAACTCCATGCACTCATCAGTACGGTGCACATTTTAATGGAAGTTTCATAACTATGAATGTCCAACTCGCACGGAAACCTTCTTGGGCTTGTATTTCTTTTTATAGATGAGGGTTTGTTTACCGTATTTTCACGACCAAAAGGCACCATTAAAAGTGTTACAATTTCTCCTAAATGGACATGTATAGACCGACTTACAGAAAAGCTTACCTTTTTTTTTTGTTTTGTTTTGTTTTTTGGCTGCCGAAATGAGCTGCTTTTGAAAGTGAAGAGGACAAAGCAAACAGCAATGGCTGAACAAAATAAATGACAACACTTTGCAGGAAATGCAGTAGTATGGCTTTTAGCTGCCAAAACAGGTGGCGGTAGAAGTTGAGAGTGAACAGGACAAAGCTAAACACAGTGAGTAAGAAAAGAGGATGCATAATCTTATTGCTTTGTGCTGCTGAAATGGGCCGTTTTAAAAATTAAACATGGACAGTGCTAAAATGGGTAAGCACAACAGTATTAATGAATGGATGATTGTAGTTGAATGGGACAAAGCAAACAATGGTGAAACAAAATGATCTTGGCAAGGAAGTAATATGTACTCATGTTTATCGTTGAACACATATCTTAGTGCTTCTCGCTGCCTATATGGGATGCTGTGAAAATGGAAAGTCAACCTAAAGAAACACAGGTGAGCCAAACAGTCGATGAGAACAAGGTAGGTGACCGCATGCACATTGTCACAGGGATCCGAACGCTTTTAGTTGCTTAAAGAGGCTGCGGTGAAATTGAAAGAGGGCAAGACAAATTCTAACAGCAATGGGTGAAGAAAACAGCTTTTGATAAGATCAGTCACCGTTCATATTTCATATCCTCACAGGAAATCTTGCATTCTTTTTGAGGGGCTGCTGAAATGGACAGCTGTTGACAAAGTTAACAAAGAAAGCAGTCTTGATGAGAAAAGCAATGACGCCTATAATATCACAGGACAATTTAGTTTTTTGTTTTTTTTGGCTGTCTAAGTAAGGTACCATAGAAACTGAAAGTCAACCAGAAAGAATCTTAGATAAGATCAGTGATGATGTCAGAAGTGTCTCGGGAATTTCAGTGCGCTGCACCGCTTAAATGTGCTGCAGAAATTGCCAACAGCGCTTACATGCAAAATGTTGCCGATGTATAAGAGTGCCGCCCCCACCGCCCCATTCATTTAATTGAATCAAACATTGTGGTTATGTTGATAGGAGTAGTAACTGTAACCCTTTTTTAAGTACCAGCATGTAACTGCAAAAGTGCTCCATTCAAATGTAAATGAGCGAAGCATTCACTTATTCAATGGTAATACATTGATTGAAGGAATCCCAGTCTCGTGTTATTATTAATATTCAGGGAACGGGGAAGGAGGCTGGAAGGTGCTGCTGACCCACAGCTAGCT